GAGTAAGTGGAGCTTTAAAGAACTGAGTGCCTGAAAATGTCAGCTGCAAGTTTTATTGCTCTGAGCAGAACAGTTTATCTGAAGGAGTCGTGACATGAGGAGCATTTGAGCTTTTTGGAGTTTCCACTCTTTATTTTAACACTAAGCAGAATTAGAGGGATGAGAAAAACAGATCATTTAAGTGAAAATATGTGAAACAAACAGCTACATAAATGATCTGTAACCACTAGGAGGCAGTATTTTTAGCAAAATATGTGATTAGAAATACCTTTTTTTTGTAAAAACTGGAAAACTTTAATAACTTCTGCTGAGTTTCTTCAAACTTAAATAATAAAGTAAAAGCAGAATGTTGATTAAAAGGCAATGTGTGTTTGATTTGATATAAACTCAATCCTTTATTAATCAATTTTGTAAAAATAACTTCTGCATACAGTTAAGTTCAGACAATACATCAAATAAGAATGTTTCTTTGAAGTTGTAATAAAAACCTAAACATCTGATGGCTAAAAATGTATTTTAAATTTAACACAGTCTTTTACTGTATTATAAATCAGTTTTTATAAATGTGTTCTTACTCAGTTTCAGACTAAATAAAAACTTAAACAATACAAATACTGTAAGTAATTTCCATTTAAAAGTAAATAAAAGTTGTTAAATTTTCTCTTTCTTGTGTTTGGTTTCCCCCAAAAATACCAAATAGTACTCAAAAAACTGTTTTTTTAATAAAGTCACAATTTTTCTGTTTGTATTAGAGATAATAAAATGTTTAGCTTAAACAATGTGCAAAAACATGAAGAGCTGGTGGTCAGGAGGGGGGGTTCACCCTGTCACCAGATCATCGCTGAGCTTTTTTAAGATTTCAGGAGTAAATGCAGGAAGATTTCCCACCATTACTGAATATTTATGTTTATATTTTATTATCTGCTTCATTCTAACTGTATCAGAAAGTCTTTCAAGACCTGATAACAGCAGCTATCAGGATATTGATGGAAACTCAGAATAAACTTAAAGAAAGATTTTGTAGCTTTTATGAGGCTGGAGCAGTTTGATTATGTGTCTGTAAATAATTTATGACACTATCCATTAGTTCTGAGCCTATAGGTTCATTTGTGAAGCAATCGGTTGGTGTGTTTGACAGTTACAGATCGAAGTTTGTCGAGGGTCGACCTGCAGCCGTCACTTTCTGACAGGCTTTTAAATCCCAGAGTAAACACGCCACAGCTCCCCGAACTCCAGGCTAACATTAACCCTCATCCATCAAACCTCAGCGCTGCCTGACATGTCGCAGGGAAACATGTGGCGCACCAGATCCACACCAAACTCCGCTGTGAAACGGAATCATCCAAGACTAATTTTAAGAAAACGCCAGATTTTGTTGTTTTAGTGCAAAATAGGCACTTTCCACTAATCAGAATTCTTGGAATTTTGGACTCAACTTGCTTTTATCGTTGCTTTCATTGTTACTTTTAATATATTTGTATGTATATACCGTATGTGCAATCCCCCTGACTAACCTTATTTTGTTCATCTGTTATAAATAAAGTTGAGAAATAACACAAAAAAACTCGACACATTTCTTTGTCCAAAATCCAGGATCTTTCATATCCACTCTTTTAATAGTTCAGGATAACCCTATTTCAGTTGTTTGCACTAAACCCATCTGGTCCTCCTAACTTGAGTCTTTTAAACTTCTCACCAGCAGGTTGTAAATAACAAATCCCAGACTGAGTCTTATAAACACCCATCAGCCCTGCATGGGCTTGAACTCTTGGTTTTGCTCCGCAGAGCCCTAAAATCATATGAAATTTCTATCTTATCTGTGTTTTCTTTTCAGATTAGCCAACAGTCCTGCTGATGGCAAACACAGTCAGGGAGCGTAATCGCACCATGGAAGCATTGTTGCGTGTTTCGCTTGGAGCAGATGATGTATGTTCTTACACTCCAAACACATCAGCCAAAAGCTATTAGTGCTCCGTGAAATAAGGCGTGTGTCCCCCCCTCCAGTCCAAAAGGGCCCAGATACCCGGTGAGGATTGTTAAAATGATTTGTGTTATTAGTTGTTAGAGGCTCGCAGCTCTTTCTGATGATGTGTTTGGAGGTCAGTGGGAGGTTTCTCTCCTCCATGGTTGGCCTAAAGAACTGAAATTGTGTTTAAGAAATGCAGAATTTAAAAGAAAACAGGTATCTCAGGGATTGTCTTTCAGTGGTTTCCTTCTTGTCTGTGTTACAGATCCTTTTCCATGTTTGTAAATAACGAAATACCAAATGCCTCTCCTCTTTTGGTGTTCCACCGGGCTCAATAGTTGGCCCAGTATTGTTTCTTCTGTACATCATCCCCTCTCAGTATCAGCAGCTTTAAAATGTGTCTTATTATATATGCTGATGATATCAAACTGTACTTCTGTTCTTTCTTTCACGAAAAAGTCCCTAGAATATGGACCGCCCAGCCCCATGTGACTACATTAGGAAGCAGCTTAATTCAGATAAGCTTTTAGCTAAATGAATAACTAAATGTTTTATTAGTCATGTTTTATTTTGTGTTTTTATACTCTTGTTGTGTGTCTGTATTTATTTTAGTTTTGTTTCTTGTGAAGCACAATGTCTATCTGGTAAAAGTGATCTATAAGTAAAAAGCACTTACTAGAAGCACTCACAAGTACATTAAACTACAGTAATAATATTTTTTGTTCCTTATTCATTGTTTTAAATCATTTTGTGTGTCTTTGTTGCTGATTCTGAGACAAGTTCAGGAGTTTTTAACCCCACAAAACAAAACAAAAAACACCAACATGTGTGAAACGGAGAAAGGGAAGATGAGCGTGAGTGACGGGCATTTAGTTTGTAGATAACCTAAAAATATATATTCAGGAAATGCAGAAGAGGAGGCGACTAATGCCAGAGGTAAAACTGAACCATGATTGATGTCATTATCATTATTATTATTATTATTATTATTATTATTATTATT